GGACTTCTCATATTTTTCAATAAAATTATCAAAAAAAGAAAATTTTTTAAAAAACTGAGGATCAGCAGAAAGAATTTTTATTATTTATTTCTTAATATTTTAATATTATAAATATTTTTTTAAAGAACTTAGATTTTTAAAAGACTAATATTTCTAAAATATTCTTTTTAATAATCAATAATATTATTAAAACATATAAATATAATCAATAAAAGTTTATTTGTATTTTAAAAACCAATATATTTTATATTAACTAATTATTTTTAATAAGAATTTATACTATTTAAAATTTAAAATTAAATTTAATTAGATAAAATTTTTCAAAAACTGTAAAAATAGAAACTTTAAGAGAGAAAATAGTTAAAAATAGAAAAAAATAAGTTTTTTAATTATAAAAAATCTTTATGATTTCTTATTATAAAATGATAAAAAACTTTTAAATATTTTAGCTGGTTTTTTTTTCTTTAAGAACTTTCTTACTATTGATATTAAAAGTATTATTTGACTTTTTTTAACTATTAAAAGGTAAGTTTTTAAGTAAAAAAATTTATAAATAATAAAAAAAAAGAGAAAGTAATCCTTTAAATTATATTTTAAGTTATTTAAAAAAAAGTATTAAAACTATATTAACAAGAAAATAAAAAACTTTTTGTGAATATTTTTTATATATAATTAGAAGATTAATAAAATAAAAAAAAATTTTAATCTATAATTATAATTTAATTATTATTTTAATATTCTAATAAAAATTTTTTTTTATTTTTTTTTTATTTTTGAAAAAACTTTATTTAATTTGATTTTTTTTTAAATATTTGGTTAATTTTTTTTTTAATTCAAAAATCTTAAATAAAAGTTTTAAATATTTTAATTTGTTTTAAAAATTCAATTTATTACTTTATTTATTTATATTATAATTTTTATTTTATTTTTTTATTTAATTTAATTTATTTAAAAAATTTTCTTATATTCTTGATTGATTCTTTAAAATTTTTATTTATTTATTTTTTGAACAATCTAGCAAGTATTATTTTGATCTTTACAAATAAAATTAAAGAAATTATAATATACTGTATTTACAGTATTTATAGAAGAAATACAGTGTTTTAAGAATTTATATATATAATATTTAATAAAAAAATCAATATACTAAATATAATTTATTTAAGATTTTAAGATTTAATTCGTTCTTTTTTAAATATTAATAAGAAAGTTCCATATTTATAAATATCAAACAATTCGAATTCTATTTATTGATCTGCGCAATCTGACTCTTGCTTCTCATATAATCATTCCCACACGAAATTTGTCACACAATGCGCTCGATATATTGTATTAAAAACAAATATTTGGGCGTTGCATACATCCATTAAGATTAAAATCCAACGTTGTTAAATTATTTTTGATTGATAAAAATGACACCGCCGTTACCAACAGAATGTATCGAAGATATTGTATCCAACATTGCGGGAGATAAAGATACCTTACATTCACTTCTTTTGGTCAATCGACATTGGTGTAAATGTGTGGTTCCAATGCTCTGGGAACGACCATTCACCTTGTTGAATCGCCCTTCCTCTTTACTAATACGCACCTACACCATGTGCCTTCCTCAAGAATCGAAACTCCTTCTGAGCTCTTACGAAATTGACCCAAATTACATTGACATATGTGGAGTCCCATCTTTTGACTATGCCACTTTTCTTCGTGCTCTTAATTACCGAAGTCTATGTTGTTCAATTTCCCGATGGTTAAATCTTCACGAGGATTATCTCGATAAGCTAGTCTTTCTGTTTGCACGGGAGTTGTGTAAAATGTTTATGAGTCGGTGCTCAAATTTCTATGGTCTCTACATGGACACTCGGGGGATGGATACGGGGAAGCTTCAGATAGACTATCTGTTGATTCCTTGTTTTCCCGGTGCAGAAGTGTGCCTGGAAAAATTAGAGCACTTCACTTGCGGTGGACTTTATAACGGCAGTGAGATGCTGTGCGCACTGTCGAAGGTATGTAAAAACATTAAGGAATTGGATGTCTATAACTCTAATAATTTCGAACCCATGGGAGGGTAAGTATCTCTACTATCACTATTCGAGTAATTGAATTTTCT